CTACGGGGCCATGAAACGCGTGAAGAGTGTATCGCCTTGGGTGCGGGGCCGCCATGCGAACGCAGCTCCTGGGGCCTCCGGTGGAGCCCCCTTTTGGGCCGCGAAGCGTGCGAGGGTCGTGCCGACGCGGGCGCGGTGCCGCCTGGCGAAAGCAGCCACTGGAGCCTTCAGTAGAGGCCCGCCTAGGGCCACGACGCTTCTGAGGGGTGTGCCGAAATGGGCGCGGTGCCACCGTGCGATCGCAGTGGGGCCACGAAACGTGTGAGGGGTGCGCCGACATGGAGGTGGAACTGCATGCGGATCCTGTCACTGGGGCCTTCGGTGGAGCACCCAATGTGGCCACGAAGCGCGTGAGGGGTGCGCCGAAATGGAGGTGGAACTGCATGCGGACCCTGCCCTGGGGCCTTTGGTGGAGCACCCAATGTGGCCACGGAGCGTGTGAAGGGGTTCGCCGACATGTAGGTGGAACTGCCTGCACGCATATAATGATGATGAGGACACGCGGAGTGCAGAGGCAAGAGATGGGAGGAGGAGGAGGAGGAGGAGGAGGAGGAGGAGGAGGAGGAGGAGGAGGAGGAGAAGGAGGAGGAGGAGGAGGAGGACGAGGAGGAGGAGAAGGAGGAGGAGGAGGACGAGGAGGAGGAGGAGGAGGCGGAGGCGGATTGGCCCCCAGTAGCTCCCCATCCCAAGACGACTGCTGAATATGCTGAGGCTCGGGCCAGACTCGGGCGCTACGTATGTGTTGGGAGGGCGGGTGGGATTGAGCGAGACGGCCTGCGGGCGGGGAGAGGGGGTAACTTAACCCCTCCCCCCACCCCCTACCCTGGACCTGGAATGGAGGTGCCGCGACCGATTTGAGCGTCCAAGAAGGCCTCGGCGAGATTCTACAAATCACTGATTCTCCTGAGGTGTTGGGGGGTGGGGGGGGGGAGAGGCTAAGAAGGACCCCCCTTCTTTGATCGAGCTCTTCCAAGATGGCCCACAGATGGTCTCCAAGGCTTCCAAGAGTGCCCCAGGAGGGCCCCAAGATGCGCCCAAGCGGCCCCAAAAGGCCACAAAGAGGCCCCCAGGAAGCTCCCAAGAACCCCCCAAGAGGCCTGAGGTACCAAGACGCTGCGAGAGGGTCCTGGGACCGCCAGGACGCCCCCAAGACGTCCAAGCAAGACTCCAAGAGGCTCTCAAGAGACATACGAAGAGATTCCGAGAGGCATGCAGGAGGCCTCTGGCCCTTCAGCTCACCTCCTCCTCCTCTTCCTCCTCCTCCTTCTCCTATTCCTCATCCGCCTATTCCTCCTCCCTCCTCCCTCCGCCCCCCCCTCTCCCTCTCCCTCGTCCTTCTCCTCCTCCTCCTCCTCCTCCCCCTCCTCCTCCTCTTCCTCTGTCCCCCCCTTCTCGTTGTATGACGGCTTCCCCAATCCCTTATTCCACTACGTGCTCCTCCGTATCCGGGACCAGGGCAACTCGCCTGGACATCCTTTCTGCATGAGCTCGTGGAGTTGCGCGAAGCGCCTAGACTAAGATCTTGGCATCTGCGGGCCTAGGGGGTCGGCGGCGTGGCGTAAGCTAGCGAAACACATGTCCAAGAAATCTCGCCGACACCACAGGCAGTGGAAGGCAAGAAACTGAAGCACGCGGGCATCATTACAGACCCCCCGCACAAATCTTTCCGTCTTGCTCCGTTTGACCTGGCCAGTGCCATCTTCTGAAGTAGCCTCACGGGACGAGAACTCGGAGAGGGTCGATCCCAGCCTTGGTTAAGTTTCGGCCGAACCTCTCCATGAATGACCCCCGAGCTGTGACCCACGCGTGGCTGGCGAACTCCCACTCGTGGAAGTCCGGCCCTGCTTGCGAGCACTGTGTGGCCTGCTCATCGTCACCGAGCGCGAGAACCAGCTAAGCCCAAAAGGGAGAGGCGGTTAGGCTCTCCTCGCTCCCGCCATCTGTGTTCGCCAGCGGTGCTAGGTGCCCATCGGCGCCCCCAGGCCACTTTCTCTGGCGCTTGCCGAGGAGAAGTGCAAATCTCCCAGGCCAGAGAACGATCTCTGGCCCCTCCTCCTGCTCGGGCGCGGCCATATCTGCGAACGCACGGATCAATGTAATGCATCCGTGGACCTCTTGATCTCTGCCGCATGAGGAGCGAAATCCAAGTGAACAGGGCGCGCCGAAGTTGAATTGAACCCCAACCCCGCGGGAACAGCCCCCCTCGGTGCATCAATCTTTGACTGGGGAGGGAAAACTGTTGGGTGGCGGGGGGGCAGGCGGTAAGCGGCAAACATGGGACGGGGGAGCTCGGCGTCGGTTCCAGACATCCTCCAATACAATCGGACCCAGGACTGAAGAACATCCCACAAGAACACGAGGCCATCCGCCGGCCAAAACAACCCAAACCATACGATCACTCGAGAATCTCATCCCCCAGGATGCCCCCCAAACGCCCCACAAACTGTTTTTTTTGCGTCGGCGGCTAGGCAGAGTAACTGCGCTGGCGGAGAGCTAACTAAACGGGGGTGCCGCTGTAGCGAAGTGCGCCACCATGCAGGAGAAGGGGACAGGGCAGAGGAAGCGGCCGAAGGAGGGGGCGGGAAGGGAGCGAGGCCTCTCAGGGGGACGGGTCACGCCCTGAGCGTGTGGAACATCCCACAAACACGAAGAACAATAGGTTACCCTCCACGAGCCGACCTCGATCTTGCACCTCGGTCCGGCTGTCTGATTTTTTGTTCAATCCGCGACCCCCCAGCAGCTCCCGACTCCTGCCCCTGGG